TACGACTTTGGAATGTATATCTTTTTATCTGTGCAAAAAGATTTTAATGATAAATGTATCCAAATAACTAACCATACTGATTAAAAGAACGACCACCTAGCAAAGATACGACAGCACAGATACTATCAAAGACAATACGGTTGAACTAAAAATATTAACAAAAACAACAATAATAACATAAAGAGTTTTTTCGAACTTTAAAATCTTTCAAGTGTTTCTTAAAACATATCAAATTGTGCATATTTAAACTTAATTTACAAAAATATTGGGTGCAATAAGAGAAACATTTATTGATGTTGACAACTAGAAGTAAAATTTTAAACAATGAGCTTATGTTATAATTATAATAGTATAGATGTAACAGGACTCTTGGTATGACTATTCGATGTAACATGTTGCATTTTGGCAATGGAATACAAGATAATTACTATTATATCAAAAGAGATTCAATTAGATAAAGAAAGGAATCAGTGTCATTTTTTTTATAATTTTCCTAACAAAGGAAGACGGTCATGGCTGAGAACTCGGAAAGTAAAAAATATCCTTTACATAAATGCGTATTTCAAGGGGATGTTAAGACTTTAAGCTCTTTAATCAGAATTTATGATATCGCAGAAAAAGACAAGCAAGGTTAATAACAAAATCTGAATTTCTTTACTTACACGTATAAACTATAATTATTTAATTCTGGATGACTAAAACATTTGTCATTACTAAATTCAAACTTGTTCTTTAGGAAATACGCCATTACACTTAGCTGTTATGTTAGGAAGAAGAGGTAATAAATTATATTTTAAATATATAATACTTAATATATACTTTACGAAATATATATACTAATACATATTAAGTTTTAAAATTATAGAATCAATCCAGTTGTTGCTTGCACATGGAGCGCCAGTAAAAGTAAAGAACTTAGCTGGATGGAGTTCACTTGCCGAAGCAATTAGTTATGGAGATAGACAAACCAGTTGGTAGAAAAAAATATAAACTATAATATAAGAATAGCATTGTTAATTTTATTTCCTTTATAGTATCGTTATTACTACGTAAACTAAAACAACAAGCGAGAGAGCAAATGGAAGAAAGAAGACCAAATTTAGTTGCAACACTACGCCAAATGGGTGATTTTTACATGGAATTAAGATGGGACTTTCAAAGCTGGGGTACTCTGATATTATTACTAAATTATAAACGATTATGTTAAATAATATTATGTAACACTTTGGGGACAAAAGATCTCACATGGATCAGTATGGATTAGTCAATAGATTAAAAGTGATAATCAAAGTTTCAAACATGAATGAATAGAAGCTGTCATACATTAAATTTGAGCTAGAATACTGAGGACATCAAACTAACATTGTGATATCAATCGACACCAATCCTTAAAACTGAATTTTCCTTATCTTGAGACTCGGTTGGAGCTGTCAATGTCGTCTCCAAGGTGTTAAACTTAAAAATTGACACATCCTTTAGAATTATTACAATAATAATTTATAAGATTCTTTTCCAGTTCCACTTGTTTCTCGAGTACTTCCATGTGATATTTGCAAGATACATAAATGTGGGGCATCTATTAGAATGGATACTACTTTAGTAGATTTTAATAATATGAGATGGGAAAGAGGTGATATATCATTTATTTTTAATGGTGACCAGAAACCAAGCAAATCATTAACAATACTAGACAACAAAGCTAAACTTTTCCAAAGAGTGAGATACGAGGTCTATTATTATCTTCTCTTCGTTATTATTGGTGCAATACTTGCACAATAAAATATTCTTGGCTTTGCTTCATTCTTATTCGCATATGTCATTTATAGGAATCAGATGTGGACATAGAAGATGAAGTAGACGTTCTTATGTCAAGCGATATTATGGCAGCACAAATGTCAACGAAAGGCATAACATTTTCAAGGACTCAGACAGGCTGGATATTTCGTGAGGATAAAAGGGTAAGATACCAGTATTGTTAGTTTGATCCATTTTCTTCTACTGCCTTCTCTTATTCTTTTCTTAAAGTTTTTTTGAGATTTATCTCAAATATTTAATAAAGGAGATGGTAGGACCTTTCCACGCGGACTTTTATCAAATCAATGGAATGGTTTTGGTAAGTAGGAAACGACGGGAACATTTAAGCGAAGAAGATTTGCAAAAAAATAAGGCTATTATGGAATCTTTAACGAAAGGAAATTCAGCAGGATTTACAAATGGAGAGGTAAATCAAAGAAATACACAGGCATTTTATCATTCTATATTGTTACACTTATTTCTGGATTTTTTAGCCCCATGTAAGAAGAGCTTCTTTAAATCCACCGCCAGAATCAAATATTACTTGGGAAGAATATATTACAGCTCCACCCGGTGAATGTCCACTCCTAGGAAGAAGTTTGGTGTATAAAGAAAATAGAAAATCATTCAAAGCTACAGTTGCTATGAGTCCAGACTTTCCATTGACAGTAGCTATGTTACTCAATGTCTTGGAAGTAATCGCGCCTTTCAAGCACTTTAGCAAGTTACGACAATTTGTCCTTATGAAATTACCACCTGGATTTCCTGTAAAAGTTGATATACCCATTTTACCTACAGTGACAGCTAAAGTCACATTTCAGGAGTTCGCCTTTCTTCATGATGTAGATCCACAATTGTTTCAAATACCATCAGACTATTTTGAAGATCCAATGAGGTAATTTTAAAATACTTTCATAACTTTTCCCATTTCCATGTAATATACAAATTTGAATCTTATATTCTGCCTCTTCTTCTATTATTGTATTCATTTTTTAGATTTCCAGATTTATGACAGCTTCATGTACCGAAGTCAATCCAAGTCAATTATGAAAGTAAACAGAAAACTGTTTCTCCACTACAACATTATTCAGCTTTTACATTTTCTTGGACATACTGTTGCCAGAATGGTCTTTCAAACAGTTGCACAGTACTCTATAAAGAAAGATCACTTTGAGTACTAAACGTAGCAAGTACTTTTAAACTACTGAACTGCAAAGTTTACGGTAGTTTAAAGGGTGGTATACTTATTCTACTTACAAAGTTGTGTGCTAAATCCTGAAGAAAAGAAAACAACTTAATAAATCTGTGCACGTGAATACAAACATTATTCCACTTAGTGCATAAAAATTACTATGTCGAACACCTCGCTTTACTTTATCCAGCTTCAGTTCTGAACTTTCCTATTTTGCATTTAGCGATTACTATTTGAAAAGTATTTTGTTAGCGAGATGAAAATATTTGCGGAATTTATTTATAAGCAAAGAACAATCTTTATCCCCTTTATAGAGGATATCTTTAACTAGTAAAAAAACATATGGAAGGCATCCATTACGAATAAAATCTTTTTTAAAATAATGACCGAATGGTGCCTCCTGTTCTAATGTATCAATATGTACCATCAACACAAATATGATTCATAAGATTTAGTGATACAATTCATTAAGATTATTTTTATTTCAAGTGTACCTTTCTACATAAATC